GCCTTCTCCAAAGTGAATCCACTGCAGGCATGGCCTTTAATGGACACAGAAAAGGGGGTGGTTTTGCTTTTGGGAGGTTCTGGTGCCTATTGGAGAAGACTGGGAAAAAAATCAGAGATTCTAATGTTTGGATAAAAAACACATGGTAATGAGTTCCCTCAGATCTCACTGAAGCCTGCAGGATGCACAAGCTCAGCCCTTGGTAGGATCAGGCCTATAGGGCCAACTCTTGGCATCCTTCCCCACTTCTTACTTAAAAAAAATCCATACTAAGCTGGCCATTGTTCCAACATCTATAAGCTGCTCCAGAAGTATAAAGAGTCCTTGCCTGAATGGGAGGTCCTTCAGTGCAAGACTTATGCCACGTGAGCTATCCCCACTTTCAATCCCTGACCCAGAAGCCATGCCATGGCCAGGCCTAGGTCTTTGCCACTCAGGGCAGAAAACATTTTCATCACATACAGATGTACCAGAGCAAATGCAATTTAAAAAAACTCCAGATGGTCAGCAGAACATTATGTGCCTGGCCAAATTGGCACCAGGGCAACTGCCTTGCACAGGACCTCTAAAATGAATCCTGCCAAAAGCAGAGACTGGCAGAGACTCATGTGCTGGGGGAGGCTGGTGATCCTAGCACTCAGTACTAAGGTATTCTGGAGCCCATTGGGAAATGTCAGCAGGCTGCTGTAAATGACAACTGTCTCTGGAGCTGATCCATCTTATGTCAGCAGCCTTACTGTCCTTCATCACAGAGAGAATTGCGATGTTTCAAAGGTCACCCTAAACCTATTAGGAATCACCGCACCATATCTAGCCCATTGAATCTAAGGCCTTATTGCTTTGGCTCATATTTTGGCTATAAATCCTGTAGACAAAAGAGCAACAGCACTATAGTAAGATCAAAGGGTTTGGGTTGTATATTCACAACCATTTTTGCTTATGTTTTAAGATGTAATGTAATCTTTTTTTAGGAAAATAGTGATGTTTTATATTCTATTAGTCCTGTCTGAATATGTTTAATTAAATATAGTGATTTGCATACAATTCTCTGCTGTGATCAAAAATACCTCAGACATGAGGCTATAAATCTAAGTCAATTAAAAATACATAACTTTCTGCTTCATAGCTGTTTTCAGGCAAAATATCTTCATGACTAGAAAGCAATATTTTGTTTTTGAGAAATAATACAAAATTGAAGATTTCAGCATCTGTTAATTATATCAGTCAATATGGGGCAAAAGAGAGGAAATTTGATGAGAAGAAAGAATTCTCTCCAAACTATTAGTGGCCATACAACATATAAAAAACCTGTTTGTCCATATTCTTTTGAATAAAAACTCATTGACTTTATTCATAAGTATTTGTAACCCTTTTTATTAATTACTGTAAACATTCTGGTGAGAGAAATTTTATTCTCAAGAAGTTGTAGTGAATATGAATGTGAATAAATATTTGAGAACATTTGAACCATATGTACTCTCATAACCATTTAAATTGACAAAGAAACACCACAGTAAACAAATGCAAAATGCAACCTGTTTGCAGATAATTCAAAACCAGATTCCTCTTATTTATAAAGCTCATGTAATTCAATCAAGAAGCAGAGCTAACAAAACAGGCATAAGGTGACCAGTCATGTGGCCAGAGGTGAAACTAAGCCAGTGTGCCCCAGTGCATTTCTTTGGTAGGAGTTGGCTGGTGCACTTGGTTACAGGAAGAGGGGCGGCACACTCCCTGCTGGGCTCCTGGGGTTCTCCTGCTAAGCAGCAGGCAGGTAAAACAGGCCGATCTGGGTCTGCTCCAGCCTCCTTCTAGGGTGCCATTAACATTGACAGAGGGCTGAAGCCCCACCCACATTCCGACTGACACTGCTTGCGGCTGTCGCTGTCAGGGAGCAAGAGGAAAGTACACAGGTTACTGCCTTCCTCTCTCTCCTGGCTGTTGAGGGCAGAGGGCAGCCGAGGAGTGAGGAGAGGAGTGTGTGCTTTCCTCTCATTACCTGACAGTGACAGAAGGGGAACAGCAAGCAACCAGCACAGTCAGTAGGAATGGGGGGCTTCAGCCCTCCCTGCCCTCACTAAAAGGCATTCTTGCCCCCCTCCCATCTATACGTACCAACCCTGTCCTGAGCCCCCTGATGCCTCAAGCCCTGATTCTTGCACCCCCTCACTCCAATACTCTGCCCTGAGCTCCTCCTCACAAACCAACCTTAACTTCTGTACCCCCACATTCCTATCCCCCTGTTTTGACTCCTGCCACCCTCACATCCTCACCTAGGCTATGTCTACACTGGCGGGTTATTGCACAAGAATGGCCATTCTTCCGCAGAGTGTCCACACTGTCCACCTGCTCTTGCACAAGAAGATTTACAGTAAAGTGTGGGAAGAGAGGGATTCTTGTGCAGGAGCTACACTCTTTTCGAACAGGTGTAAGCCCTCTTGTGCAAGAGCGCAATGTGGACGCGCAACAGGGATTTCTTGCGCAAGACATCCCTATGGCTAAAATGGCCATCAGAGCTTTCTTGCGCAAGAGAGCATCCACACTGCCATGGATGCTCTTGCGCAAAAGAACATCTCGCACATGGCAGTGTGGACATATTCTTGCTCAAGAGTTCTTGTATAAGTTCTTGTATAAGAACTCTTGCGCAAAGTGTTCTTGAGCAAGAAGCCGCCTGTGTAGAAATAGCCCTTGTGTCCTGAACCTCCCACTGCCACCTCTCTGCCCTGAGCTCCTCTTCACTGACTCTTGTACCCCTCCCCCACATTCCATACCACCAGAGAGTGTTGAATAGGCTTTTGGTAACTCTACTTTACCTATTGTTAAACCAGAAAAAAATAAAAGAAAAAAGGGCTGAGCAACAGAATAAAAGCACACAGTGACCCAAATAAGCATAGTTATTCTGCTCACCATTAATGGCTGTGTCTAGACTGCAAAAACTTGCCAGCTGTCTACACTGGCCGCTTTATTTTGCGCAAAAGCACTGACTTTCTACTGTCCGAAATCAGTGCTTCTTGCGCAAATGCTTTGACGTTCCCGTTCGGACAAAAGCCCTTTTCCAGAAATGTTTTTGCGCAAGAGGGCCAGTGTAGACAGCTAAAAACTATTTTGTGCAAAAAAGTCCTGATGGAGAAAATGGCAATTGGGGCTTTCTTGCGCAAAACCGCGTCTAGATTGGCACGGACGCTTTTCCGCAAAAAATCATGCCAGTCTAGACGTAGCCAATTTGTTTTACGAATATTGTCATATCACCCCCCCCCCAATCCACTTATCTGCCCCCCCAACGCTGAAGGGAAGGAGAGTAATACATCAATCTGGCTATGTCTAGACTGGCATGATTTTCCGCAAATGCTTTTAACAGAAAAGTTTTTCCGTTAAAAGCACTTGCGGAAAAGAGAGTCTAGATTGGCATGGATGCTTTCCTGCAAAAGCACTTTGCGGAAAAGCATCCATGCCAATCTAGATGAGGTTTTGTGCAAGAAAGCCCCTATCGCCATTTTCGCCATTGGGGCTTTTTGCACAAAACAATACCGCGTTGTCTACACTGGACCTCTTGCACAAAAGCATTTGCGCAAGAGGGCTTTTGCCCGAACAGGAGCAGCATAGCATTTCTGCAAGAACACTGACAATCTTACATGAGATCATCAGTGTTCTTGCAGAAATTCAAGCGGCCAGTGTAGACAGCTGGCAAGTTTTTCTGCAAAAGCAACTGCTTTTGTGGAAAAACTTGCCAGTTTAGATGCAACCCTAATGATTAGGTCCCAAATATATCAGAATGTGTTCACAGGCAATATTAATTGAACATATATGTATAATAAACACCTTATAAAAATCAGGGCCTATGAAAGGATAACTAGAGAACTGAAAAAAATCCTGTTGAACAATCTATACTTAATGAATCATTCAATCAACTCTAGTAGTCAGAATCACATTTTTGTCTATAGCTCCAATGCTAAAACATATATTTTTGAATGTTTTGAAAGTAAGGCATGTTGTTATTTTCACACAATTTCAAACATACTGCTAAGAGACTGATATTGATGTAAATATGATATACCAAAAACATTCCATACAAAATATAGATTTTAGTCTGTTCACTTCTGTTTTCATACTGTATATTCATAGAACCATAGAAATGTAGAACTTGAAGGCTTGAAAGGACCTCAATAGTTCAGCTAATACAGTCCTCCGCAATGAGGCAAGACTAAGTATCTAAATCATCTATAAGAAGTATTTCTCTAAAATGTTCATAAAAACCACCAATCGGAGAGATTAGATTCCATTACCTTCCTAGATAATTTGTTCCAGTGCTTACCCTTACAGCGAGGAAGATTTTCCTAACATCTAACCTTCCTAACATGTAACCTAAATTTTCCTTGCTGCAATTTAAACCTATTATTTCTTGTCCTGTCTCAGGGTATGTCTACACTACAAAGTTAATTCGAAATAACGGCCGTTAGTTCGAATTAAATTTGATAGGCGCAACACACGCGATCCGCTAGTTCGAACTTAATTCGAACTAGCGGAGCGCTTAATTCGAACTTGGTAAACCTCATTGTACGAGGACTAACGCCTAGTTCGAATTAACTAGTTCGAATTAAGGGCTGTGTAGCCACTTAATTCGAACTAGTGGGAGGCTAGCCCTTCCCAGGTTCCCCTGGTGGCCACTCTGGGCACAACCAGGAAAACTCCTCTCCTCTCCCCCAGCCCTGGGCCCTTAAAGGGGTAGACTGTGGCCAGACGGCACTTGACACAGCCAGCCCTGCCAGCAGTCTGTGCCCCGAACCAGTGGCCCCAGAATGAGCCAGGGAGCCAGTGCCAGCGAGCTGTCCCCTGCCCAGTCCCCCAGCACCCAGGGGCCGTAGACGGCACGTGCCCTCCTGGACTAGTGCGGAGGTCATGGACCTCATTGAGGTTCGGGGGCAGGCCCCCAATGTCCATGATCTCCGCCCCCTAGAGGGGAGAGGCTCCACGGCCCATCCCCCTAACCCACCTCTCTCTCCCTCGCAGGGGAAGCTGGGTGTGCCGGGGCTTCCTGGGTATCCAGGACGGCAAGGCTCAAAGGTGAGCGCTGCAGACAAGGGGTCTGCCCCCTCTGCCCCACTTCTGCCCCCCAGCACACCCCTAACCCCCTTCTCTCCTCTCTCCGCAGGGATCTCAGGGCTTCCCGGGCTTTCCCGGAGCCAATGGCGAGAAGGGATCTCGGGTGAGTTACCCCCGGTGGAGTGGGGCCCACGCTTCCCTCTGCCGGCGACATGCCCATGGAGGGAACTGGGGGGGCCTGGTGCAGGGGGTGCAGGTTCTGCTGTGGGGGGCCTGACACCCATTCCTGCCCCCCCACACTCAGGACAGATGGGAGCTGGCACTCACTGGTGGGGCTGGGTGAAGAGCAAGAGGTTGCGGGGATGGGGAGGGGTTTCCAGGGATGGGCTGGATGGGGAAAGCCACTAGCCCGGTGTGGGATGGGTCCCCGGGGCAGCTGGAATTGGGGGAGCCCTGCAGAGTTGTGAATAAAGTGTCATGGGGGGTGTCCCATGGGTGAGGTCTCTGCAGAGCCCTGAAATGGGGGGTCCCTGTGTAGGTTCTGTGGGGCTGGGGGCCCTGCAGAGCCATGGGTGGGGTGGTCTGTAGGGGGGCAGGTTCAGGACGGGGGATTCCAAGGGTGAGTGTTAGGGGTCCCTGCCGGGCCCTGGCTGGCTGACGGGTTCTCCGCAGGCGCCCACGCCCAGCCCACGCCTCACTGACTCTCTCTCTTGCAGGGTGTATCCGGGAAGCTGGGCCCCCGGGGCGAGCGCGGCCCCTCGGTGAGTGTGGGGGGAAAGGGGGGGTTAGTGCAGCCAAGTCCCTGGGCCCCTCCCATCCTCCTCAGACATCCCGAGCCCGCTCCACATCCGGCCACCCATACCTCTGCACTTCTCATCCCTCCTTCCACCCATCCATCCACCCCTCCATCCATCCATCTACCTACCCATCCATCCCTCTGCAATTCTCATCCATCCCTCCACCCATCCACCCTTCCCTCCATCCCTCCACCCATCCTTCCCTCCATCCACTTACCCGTCCATCCCTCCACCCATCCATCTACCCATCCCTCCCTCCATCCACCTACCCGTCCATCCCTCCACCCATCCATCCCTCTGCAATTCTCATCCATCCCTCCACCCAACCATCCACCCATCCATCTACCTACCCGTCCATCCCTCTGCACTTCTCATCCCTCCCGCCACCCATCCGCCCATCCTTCCCTCCCTCCATCCACTTACCCGTCCATCCCTCCACCCATCCATCTACCCATCCCTCCCTCCATCCACCTACCCGTCCATCCCTCCACCCAGTTTTCCCCCTCCCCTCTCCCACACTCTCTCCTGCCCTTTCCCGCCTCCTCTCCTCCATCTTCCCACAGTTTTATTCCCCCCTCCCAGTTTTGTGAAATAAAGAGAGTTTCTATTTTTGAACACGTGTCCTTTATTTTTTACATCAGGAAGGGGGGCTAGGGACGGGTAAGTGGAAGGAGGTGAGGGAGGAATGGGTTACGAGCCCCCAATGGGGAGGACTGGGTTGGCTCTGCGGGCTCCTCGGGGTGGAAGCTCTCCTGAAGCCCCTCAATTAACCCCCCCTCCGGATGGCAGCCTGCGGCAAGTGCAGCCAGGCTGATGGCCAAGTGCTGTGATGTGCCGAGTGTGGGCACTCAGGACACTCCAAGCCAGGACTGCTTTGCAAGCGGGGAACCCCTGAGAACTGTCTGTCCGGGATGGGGGTTGGGTCCCTTTAATCACAGCCCTCGGCTAGCCTGAGAGAGCAGCTCCATGCTCTAAGTCCTAACCTGATGCCCTGCTGGCACTGCTTCCGGCCATCCTTAACCTCGGTTCAGGGTCCACTCAGTGTGGACATGCTAGTTCAAATTAGCAAAACACTAATTCGAACTAGTTTTTAAGTCTAGATGCACTAATTCGAATTAGCTTAGTTCGAATTAACTAATTCAAATTAAGTTAGTTCGAATTAGTGCTGTAGTGTAGACATACCCTCAGTGCCTAAGGAGAACAATTATCACCCGCCTCTTTATAACTTTTTATGTGCCTGAAGATTGTTATGTCCCTATTCAGTTTTCTATTCTCCAGACTAAACATACCAATTTTTTATTTTATTTTTTCTTCCTGGGTCATATTTTCTAGACCTTCAGTCATTTTTGTTGGTTTCTGCTGGGCTTTTGCCAATTTGTACACATATTTCCTGAAATGTGGTGCCCAGAAATGGACACAGTGCTAAGGCTTTGTCAGTGCTGAGGAAACAGCAATAATTACTTGTTGTGTCTTGTTTACAACACTCTTGCTAATATGTTCTATCTCTCTTTTTGCAACAGTATTACCTTGTATTCATTTTAGTTTGGGTTCCACTATAACCACAGGTCTTTTTCTGCAGTATTTGTTTCATTATTTTTCTGGATACCAAAGTTAAGCTGATTGTTCTATAATTCCCTGGGTTGTCCTTATTCTCTTTTATATTGGGATGAAGTACATTCTATATCGCCTCCCTGTGGGGGTATCCAAAACAAATATGGCTTCTCTCTCACTGGCCCACACCTTAGTGGTGCAAGTTGGCCAAATGGAATCTGTGAATTTTTTCCATTCAACAATGATTATCAGAGCTCCTTGACATTAGGCACAACGTGAGAATATTAATCCTTATTGTCTACACAAATGACTTATCCTGGAACACTATGAGAAGGTTATCACCCGCATACTCAAACAGCTCGGATGTCTCTCTTGTATCATGCATTGAAGTTCTGTTTGTCTGGGAATGTCACTTTTCACCCTGAATCTTCTATGAAGTAATGAAACATGCTGTTGCCAAACCAGGTGTATTCCATTTTTACTTCCAAGGAAAATACTTATCTATTCATGGTTTGGTCTTTTATCTACAGTTTGATTTCTGTTCTTAACTTGTAGATTAGAAAGGATGAAACTGAATAAACAAAATATCTGTTTTAGTCAGAATTACCCAACATAACTTTTTCAAGTAATGTGCTAAATATCAATAGTGCAGGAATTCCATAGGCAAATGTAAAAACCCAACTCTCACACATCGCCTTGGATATATTGTACTGAGAGACAGAAGGACTGTCTGACCAGAATACCACAGTTATCACCTGCTGTATTTGAAAAGTGCTATGGAAAAAATCAGAAGAGAACATGTAAACTTATATCTGAAGAACTTTTGAACAATGATGTATGAATTCCAAGAGCAGAAGGGACCATTTTGATAACTAATTTGACCTTCTGTACAACACAAGTCACAGAACAGCTCAAAAGTGATTTTTGGAGCATATCTTTAAGAAAAATATCTAATATTGATTTACACATTGTGAGTGATGGAGAATCCTCCACAACCCTTGGTACATTGTTTCAGTAGTTAAGTGTCCCTATTACTGACAATTTACATCTTATCTTCCCACTCTTAATTTGTCTGGATTCAGCCATCAGCCACTGGATCATTTTTAACCTTTCTTTACTAAATTGAAGAGCCATTATCAAATGTGTGTCCCCCAAATAGAGCAAGTCACCTCACAACATTCTCTTTAAGCTAAATAGGTTGAGCTCCTTGAGAATATGACTATAAGCCATGTTTCCTAATCCTTAACATTCTTGTGACTCTTCGCTGAAGCCTCTCCAATTTATTAACACCCCTCTTGAATTGTGGACAGAACTAAGGCTCATATTCCAGTAGTGGTTGCACTCATGCCAAATACAGAGGTAAAATAACCTCCCAGCTCCTGTTCAAAATCTCCCTGTGTGTTCATCCATTAGTGGCATTATGCCTTTCCACAGTATTGCATTGAAAGCTTAAGTTCAGATGATTATCCCTCTCCCCCCTCAATCCTTTTCTGAGTCACTATTTCCTAGCACCGATTCCTCCATCCTTTAAGTATTCCCTGCATTCATTGTTCCTTTAAATTTAGTTGTATTAAAATGCATATTGGTTTTGCACTCCATTTACCAAGTGATCCAGATCACTCTATATGGATCACTAGACCTCTTCATTGTTTATCTCTTCCCTACTTTTTTGTCATCTGCAAACTTTATCAGTGATGACTTTGGGTTTTTTTCCAGGTCATTGATAAAAATGTTAAATAGCACAAGGGCAAAGAACTAATCCTTGAGGGGCCTCTCAGTAATGAGCCCTCTTTTACAATTACATTTTAAGACCTGTCTATTTAATGTTAATTTTATATCATTCTAATTTTATAATCAAATTGTTGCATGCTACCAAGTCAAACACTTCTAAGTGTATTACATAAACATTATTACCCTTATCAACTAAACATGCAATCTTATCAAAACAATTACATTAGTTTGACAGAATCTATTTCCCATACATCCATATTGATTTGCATTAATTATATTATCTACCTTTAATTCATTATTAATCAAGTTGTCAATGAGTCATCGTTATTTTGTCCAGAATTGATGTAAGAGTTACATGCCTATATCTCCTAACATCATCCTATTTTTCCTTTTTAACTCTTGGCACATTAGCTTTCGTTCAGTCTTCTGGATCTTCCTCTGTGTTCCAAGATTTATCAAAAAGCAACATTAATGGTGAACAAACCCTTCAGCCAGCTCTTTTATAACTTTTGGATTTATCTTGAAGTTATCCAGACCCGCTGACTAAAATATGTTTAACTTTTATAGCTGCTGTTGAACATCTTCCAATCATATTACTGGAAAGGAAAAAGTGTTGTATGATAATACTGCATCACCTGTCTTTTTCTTAAATATAGAACAAAAATTATTATTAAAGACCAGGCCTTTTCAACATTAAACTGATAATCCCATCATTTTTGCCTTGTAACGAACCAGTACCATTGCTAGGATTTTTTTTGTTCCTGGTATACATAAACTTCTTATTGTCTCTAACTCTTCTGGTCACAAGTTTCATTGTGTCCCTTTGCTTCCCTTTTAAATTTTCTACCATTACTAACTTCTGAGTTATATTTGTTACTATCGACTTCTCCTATGAGATCTATAGTATTGAGCTATGGAATAGTATTCATAGAGAAGTGATAGAAGCCTCTTTGTATTGCATATTTTAAAAGTAGACCAGTATAACTAAAAATATACTATCAAGAGACATTCTGAATTTATAGCAAGACGGGCTGCATGAGCCAATAGGCCTTTTCCCCTGTGTATATAACTTCTGTGGTTCTATATATGATGATAACTTATTTTTATGGCAAAAAACAACTTTTAAAGATTACTTTAAACATTGACAATGACAGACACTTTCATTACTAGATTGCTGTTTCAAATCCAACTCAGGTCAGCTGTTACATCTTGGCTTTTTGAGGGCCTATGTAAAATTAGATTTTTTGTCTCTTTCCAGTTCTAGGATGTCCATTTCCAAAAATCTGCACCATAATTTGCTCTAATTCACCCCTTGCTGTTTGTCTTAGAGAGGCCTGTGCTTTACCTGGCATTGAGATTGAACTGCCTTCATACCATCAGAGACAGTGCTCCTAGGACAGAGAGGGACAGTTGGCTCAGTCCCACTTCTGTTAAAGTTAGTGGAAAGACTTCCATTGATTTCAGTGAGAATTGAAGCATACCCAACCTAGCAAAACTTGCACTGCAGCTGCTTGTGATATATTCATTTTGTGTATGACTGAAATATTTAAGTATCTAGGATAGTGTATCAGGCACCTATCATCAACCATAAAGTTACACACAAATAAAACAGTGGGCACAAATGTAGAAAATGTGCTAGCATTGCAAACACAAAGCATTAAATTGAAGAGAACATGGAACCTGATT